TAACTAGCTAACTAACTAGCTAACTAACTAATCTATTTATTTATTTATACATCACATTTATATAGCCGCTCATCTCACAAAGCAACTCTGGGTGGCATAATTGTAGGTGAAATGGGCCAATAGCCTGACTAAATATAGCAATTCCATGTTTTTAGGTCAGAAATGGGGAAGCTATGACCATCGAGATGTTAACTGTACAGCACCTATGCACAAAATAGGAGGCCGGGGAAAGGGCTGTATTTCAGCAGTATCTGTAGCCGTAGGTTCCCAATTCAGATGACCATGCGACTGAATGCCATGAGAATGGTTTTTCATGTCTGGGACAGAGAAGCATTAGAGAATAACCACATTGCGAGTGTGACTGCCTGTTCCTCCACACCATAGAGACTACAGGAAAGAGAGGAGTCAACCCAGAAGAATGCTCTGATAGCAGAAACTCATGGCATTCTTCTCTTTTACTCAGTGAATGTTAAGAGGTGCACAGAAAACAAGAGGGTGGGCAGCTGAGAAGGATAAAGCAAGGAGGGAACTAGCAAGTCTGGTTTGTTTTTTTGTGTTCCTTGAGTAACGATGACTTAGGCTCAGAAAGCTCACCAGCAATTTTCATTGTTATGGAGAGCTTAGATTGTGGATTGAGGGAGCATATGCAGAACGCTGGTAGAGGTTAAGAACAGTCCAACGGACCATATGGACGACACTGCAGGCCAACCCAACCCACCAGACCATGATGTGATGACTCTCTGTTGTGTCTCTGGCTCACGCTGTACTTGGAACAGGAAATTCACCACAGAGATGTTGATCCTCAGGATGAACATAAGCTATAGGGCCTCTTGGAATCTTGGAAATGCTAATTTGAGCTTCTACACTTTCTGAATACATACATTTATGATAATATTCACACATTAGTGCTCTTTCCCCTGTAATGCATATTGTTTATAATATGAAAACAGATAAAAGTTTTGTACCTTCTATCCATGTAGGAGAGGTAGAAATACATTAATAAAATGGGTGTAGTATAGATGGCATGTAGCTTCTGAGACATCCAGAATATCCAGAAGATATTGCTACATCTGCAATTGCTAGATATTGTAAGTAATCAGAAGCCTAACTAGGAAAAACAAATGTAAAGAAATGCGATGTTTCTGTATCAGTATGTGCAACCTCATTAACGATCAAGGAGCTCCAAATCTCTTGAGAAAGTACCTTTGCCTGCCAATTGTATGATTCCTGGGTCACTTTTCATAGAACTACATGATGCATTTTTCTCAACAAATAGAAACGATCAAACTACTTTTCCTTGTGAAAAGTATACTATTTTTTAAATGGTATTTTTTTATTTTGTTTTGTTTTGTTTCACTTTGTGAGCCACCCAGAGTCAGTTGGAAAGATGCATAAAAAAATCAAATGAAGGAATGAATGAATGCTATGCTCCTCTTCCTGCCAAATGCTATTCCACAAAAGTCCCAAAGGGATTAATTTGCAATTAATCCCAGCTACTTAGACCTGAGTCTGTTTTCCAGCTTCCATATATATAACTTTATCCCAGATTTTGTTTCCTAAGCACAGCTGGGATGTGATAGGATATCAAGAAGAGTCCTGGAAATGCCATGTATTCAGTCCAATCATTTCAGCAAGACTTTGGGTTCAGTCCAGGCAGAATTAGATCATTCCCTCTGAGAGACTCACTTAGGCATATGTACCTGACTTGTATGGAGCCAATATGTCATCTTGGATTTCTGTTTAATCCGCGGTATCATCAGTCTGTAGATGATATGTTCTCCGATGGTAGTGAGAATAGACAGACCAAATCCAACACAGAGCATCACAAATAGCCCAGAAAAGTGCTTGATGCCCATTTGCAGGGTCTGTTGGAGAAGAAGAAGGAGGACAATGTATGAATGACATTTGTAAAATAGGAACACACATATAGCAAAATTGATGCTTATTTTACACACCTCTCCCACTTGATTTTCTTCCCAGGAAATCCTTGGGAGTTCATTTGATGCCACGTAAGGGGCTGTAGCCAGAAATGAAGATTTACAGAATCTCCATGGCGCAAGTGAGTTTTAGTCGCGTGAGACATGGAATTAAGCTTGGTTCCAGCAAGCTGCTGCTGCCGCCCAACCTCTTGGCGGGGTTCAAACAGACAATGGCATACTCAGCGATAAGGTCTGTCTGCCTTTGGGCTTACTTAGTAGTAGTGAGAGGTGGCTGCAAACTGCTTGCCATTTAAGTAACTCACAACTCCCTGAAGCATCACATTGTGAGTCTTTAGTCTGGGGAGAAAATTAACTCACCAGCAGAAGTCATGATTTCAAGAGGAGCGCTGATGTGCAAGAGCTCTTTTCTGGAGAACTCCTGAAATTTTGAACTAGCCTTCTTTGAATCTAGCTAATTTGATTAAGAAATCTGGGATCTTGAGAAAAGGAGTCTCAGAGATCATTTACAAACACTCATTCATGGATTTGTGAGCCAGAACCTGGATCTACCATCTTAAAGACACTTATTCCCCAGGGGCAGGGGCAGATTTTAAAACTACCACCTTGGCTATGAACAAAATTAAAGTTACGTTGCTTACTCTTTATTAAACCTAGCTGAGCATCTGATCAGTTCATAACTATCTCTTCATAATGGGAATAATGAATGATGTGAATAAGAACTCTAGGAAACAGAGTGTCCATCAGGCTATTTCCTGCACAAGCCCCCCCCCCCCCCCCCAAGGAACACCCCAAGCAATTGTTCCTCATGTTAATTAGTGAGATGGCATTAAGGCATCAACATGGAGCAGCCTTGCATGAAATGGGTAAATGGGCTTTTAACTGAAACATTCCAATGAATTGGCTGGTTTGGTGAGCAGATCTTTGATTTGTATTGAATTAACCATCTTTCTTTGTGCATAGGTACATTGACAAAACATAAGCAAATTGTGCTGTAATAATTCTTCATTAAAGCCTATCATTCAGAGACAAAATTTCAGGTACATATTTAAGAGGAGAAGAAAATAATTGCAAAATAATAGTAATTGCTTGGAAAAATACGACGAGTAACCACCATTTCAGCAGATGTACACGCTGGTAATCTTCTAAGTTGCTGGTATCACACAACACACCCATATACTCTTGAGAATCTCAGAAAGGAAAAACATGACTGATAACTTCTAGTCCTTTAAAAGAACCTTCCCTATCCATGGCACTTGTTACCAGACAGTACAGACTGAAGGTTTGCGGACTAGTTTGTTTCAAAAGCTCTAGCTTCTTAACTTATTTTTGTCCCATGACAAAACCTCTCCAGTACTTTAACAAAGTTCATGCAAACATACAGGGTTTAATGAAGCAGGAGGGTCCCACCTGGAGTTAATGGCAAAGTTGGAGATTTGGGGAATTAAAAGGCCCAGCATCCGTCACCATTGGCTAGCATTACTGAGAACTGTTAATTCAGGAACATTTAGAGGGCTCCAGATTCCCTTCAGAGTTTGTTCTTATAAATGTTTAAAAATGGAATGCAATAAAACATGCTCTTTTAAAAGCATCGGTTGCATTCTGTCATGTTGTTGAATGCCATCATCATTGTAGCTGTCCCATTCACGTGCTCACACCTTGAAAGGCAGTGTGGTGTAGTTTGCAAGATGTTGGACTAGGAATGGGAGACCCAGATTCAAATCCTCCATCAGCCATGGAAGCTCATGGGGTGACTTTGACTCTCAGCTCAACCTACCTTGCAGGGCTGTGGTTGTAGGGAAAACTGGAGGAAGGAATGCCATGTATGGGACTTTGATGTTCTGATGGAAAGATGGGAACAATCTAATAAATAAATATGTAGTAGAAATTGTCTCCAAAACATCCCAGGTTCAATTGCAAGGAGAAGTGGGTCAACCCATCTGATATCTAGGCGAGCCACTTTCTCCTCATTGCATCTTTTGCCAATTTATTTTTTCTCAGTTTGAACACACACGCACACACGCACACACAGAGTTTTCTCAAAAACCATGTGATTATCACAATTAGCAGAACAGTATATTATAACTGTACTTCTTAAAACTGAAAGACAAAAGGTATACCATTGGTTTCACGCACTTAGTATGAACTCAGTGACCTTATCTGTATTTCAGTTAAAACTTTACATATAATGGCAATGCATTCTTGACTGCCTTAACCTTGTGCCAGTCAAAGGCAAACAGTTTTTACATTGAACCTAAGTTCTGTAATCATCTTCTTTTTAATATATGGCCTGAGAATAAATTCTGTAAGCTTCTCACATCAGAAAGTGTGCATATTGGTCTATGTGCATTACCCAAGTTTTGTTTTATTCATGTGATTTAAACCCCTTTATATTCCTTTCCTTATCTTCCTGGACAGTAGAAAGTTCATATATCAATAATCAAGTGACATTTCTCTTAGGAGAGCCCATTCTACAGAAGGAACAGATAATGATGTTGGCCTTGACTGCAGTGCTGCAGCCCATAATTTATTTTTAATCAGGGAGAATTTAGAAAAAAAACTCTTCCTACTTGAAGTGGGCAGAGTTAGATAAAGGCATGGTAACATCTGGAGAGGCTTTAACCAGTTCTAAACTGTCTTCAAAATATTATGTGTGGTCTTAGAATCAACCCATCCATCTACATTGCCTAAGAGGACAGCTGCTTACTGGGGGTATCAAGGGAGGCCTAGAGGACATCAGCATTGTGCCAGTGTGCTGAAAGCTCCGCCCCTTTTGTATGTATGTCACAACACTGCGTGCTTATATGAAAGAGGCAGAGCTTGTGACATGACAGTGCATTTTGACACGAGTCCTGGATCCTGCAGACCCCTCTGAAGAAGAGAATTCACATTTTAATTCAGAGGGCAGATAAATTTTGGAAACCTCTCATAGGAGCAACAATATTGCACTCCAGATATTGTAGGAGGAGAGCTGTGATAGCCTATGGTAGCCAAACAACTGGTAGCATCTTTTCTGACAAACAAAGGTTGCTAAAAGGAGCATGCTTTCATGAGCCGCAGCTCACTTCAACAGATGCTAAACTGATGTAGGATTTAAACTGGTACGAGGTAGGGAGAAGAGAAGGGAAGAGAAGTTGCAGCTGCTGGTTATTCGGGAGACAGATTACAAGAACCTTTTCAATTAACAACTGTAACATGTTAAAAACCCATTGTGTTTCTGGACACCTACTGAGATAGCCTGAAACCTTTTGATTTAGGTGAGTTCAGCAATCTCTCACTCAGTTGTGCTGGTAAAATTTCTTTTTTCCAAGATGGCTACTATGAGATCTGTAATGGAGGTTGAATGCTTTGTTATTCCATTGCCCTTGTTTTGAGTCTTGATGTCACACTTGGGTCCATTAACTCTTTTACGTAAACCTTGTCCAGTTTGTCCTACCTAGAACCCAAAGAGTCATTGCTATCAGATGATGGCATATATCACATAAGAGGAAGAGTATGTGAAGGCACCTCTAATCTGCTTGTGGCCTGTAATAGTGCTGTTAGTGTAGGCATGGGGGCAAAACAGACATCTGAGTTTGTTGCAAGGTCTGGTCCCCATGTTAGCATCATCGTCTGGTTGTGTCTTGTTGCTTGTGAGAAACTGCTTCAGTTGGGTGGTTGCCTGTATGCAAGTACGGGCCTGCCAGAAATTGCGCAAGTAATAAGGTTTGTGTCAGAAAAAGGAGGAAACATTACTTTCATGCCAGATCAGCTAAATATGAAGTTAGGCAGCCTCAGCTAGGAGTTGGAGATGAGATGAAGGCAGTATCTTGACAGAAACAGCTAATGAAGCAATCTGAGTTGCAATGGGGGTGGTGGGGGGGTGGTATGGATGAGCCCCAGGAGAATTAACTCTTCATATAGTACTTCTAGAAGTCAGTTGTTCTGTAAAGCTAGCAGACACCTCCCGTGTAATAAATGCTGCCCAGAATTCCTGGCTTTGTCTTATTTCACAGGATAAATGAGAGAATTCCATGCCAACTTTCCCAAAAGTTTGTTTAAACATACAGGACAAAAATGAGATTGGATCAGAACCAGGAAAAGAGGGCTAAAGCTTTCCCGTCCTAGAACCCCTGATCTGGAGGCATATCCAAAACATAGAGCCAAAGTACTTGAATCTTGTCAATTCTAATTTAGTCCAAAGACCCAGAGAAAACAGTCTTTTGGTGGCACTGATAGGCTTCACTGAACAGAAACAAGCAAATGGGATCTAGTACCAGTGGATGTTAAATTTAATAATACTTTTTTGTTGTTTTCTGCATTTTGTAAGCTTGATTTTGTGTCGTCTAACCCTGTTCACTGGCAGGAGCAAGTTTTATAATGAAGGCAGCATTGAAGAAAAGTTTTCAGCTGAAAACTGTTCCTTTTATGTGAAGAAAAAAGAAATAAACTATGGCTGCTCTTTTTGATTAATTAAGTAATGTGCCTGATTATTCTGTTAGTAGAGGAGGAAAAAAAAATATTAATCTGACAAATCTAATGACAAATCAGGGCAAATGAACAATATATCAAAATACCTACGATTTTTTTTTCCTACAAAGATAATATTATAGGCATTTTTTTTCCTGATAAGGATTATATTTTCTTTTCACACTAACCTCTTTATCTTTCAGACTATCTTCTTTTTTTCCTATGCATCCCAAAGTCATGACGGCAGCATGACTTTCTCTTTGTTTTGACAACAGATTTAAAGAGAAATGTAAACACTGAGTGTAAGAGCACAAAATTTGCAGCTTTCAATTAAGCAAGTTTAATTTAATTTACAGTGATGAAGCTCTTATATTTAGGCATTTTGATCACCTCCCGTGGAATGCGCTTAGAATATTTCCCTTCTGTGGGGTGGGAATGACTAGTTGTGGCTAGTTAGATGTTTCTGAATTGTAACTTCC